CATTATCAACTCTGACCCTCTGATTCTTTGCATTAGGAATAAAATAAACACTTATAAGAGCTTTTCCTACAATATGTCTGCCTGACTGGCTGGAGCTCACCACAAATCTGACCACCTTCTGCCCTCTGGATTAGGGGACTACCCTTTAGGTCAAGAGACTGCCACCCAGGTTGAAAAGCTCATCAATTAAGCAAGGTTATGGAATGAAAAAGGCGAGATCCATAAAAATTAATAAAATTAGTTAATGTGTGAGACAGAGAGGATCCAGGCAAATCCTAGTTAAGTCATACCCTGCACATAATATTGGTGTCCCTAGAGTAAAGGGACACCAAGAATAAGACTGTAGGTTGTCACCACTCTAAAAACATGTGTACACTCTGACACTGTTCATTTTACTTAGATAGAGAAAGCCCATGTCTTCAGCACCTGCCAAACCACACACTGACTCTGCTCTGCCAGGGCAACTTATGATACTGTCCAGTTATAGAGGATGTCCCAGCAGGTGATATTTGGTGCACTTAGGTCCTACTTGATGCTTTGGCGAAACCTGGGAAAAAAAGTCTGTCCCCAGCCCCATGAGAAGGGGATGGAGCTGCTCTCCTCCAGGAAAGAGGAAACTTCTGTCCAGTCCACATGTGGGACATGTCCTGCTGCCTTGCAGGGCCTTACTGGGATCTGTTGGTTGCTGCTTCATGTCCTGCTGGTGCTGGGGCCTTCTCAAGGGAGGCTGTTGGACCTGCTAGTGCTATTGGTGGCTGGGTCCACGGATTTCTTTTCCCCACATCTGGAAGCTGATTTTGCCCTGCTCTCAGGCAACTTCAGAGCCTGCTGGCAGCAAGATGTGATGGGAAAGATGACAGGACCTGACCTTGCTCCCTTTGGATGGTGTTACCATGCTGCCTTGTTTAATTAGGGCAGGTGTGCACCTGGACATTGAGGTACTGCAGCATATCCAGAGAGAAGGGCAATGAAGCTGGTGAAGGGTCTGGAGGAAAAAGTCTCATAAGGAGCAGCTGAGGTTACTGGAATTGTTTAGTTTGAAGAAGAGGAGGCTGAGGCCAGACCTTCTTGCTCTCTACAACCACCTGAAAAGAGGTTGGAGTGAGGTGGGAGTTGGTCTCTTCTCTGTGGTAACAAGCAACAGAACAAGAGGAAATGACCTCAACTTGTGCAACGGGAGGTTTAGCTTGGATATTATGAAGAAACTTCTTCACTGAAGAGATTATCAAATGCTGGAAGCAGCTGCCCTGGGAGGTGGTTGAATCACCACCCCTGGAGGTGTTTAAAAGATGCGTAGTCGTGGTTTAGGGTTTCAGGGATGTGGTTTAGCACAGGACTCTGTAGAGGCAGGTTAATGGTTGGATCGTAAAGGTCTTTTCCAACCCCAGCCAGGCCTTCGTCACCTCTGTGGCTCTGCCCTCTCCACAGCACATCCAGGTTCTTACCAGCTGTTTGTGACAGGGTGGTTAGGGAAGTTACATCAGCACTGTGGGCAAGGATGGGAAGTTTAGGGAGGCCCTAATCTTGGGGAAGGTGGGGAAGCAGATGTGGGTCCAGAGGAAGGCTGTGGAGATGGTCAGGAGCACCCCTCCTATGGAGACAGACTGAGAGAGCTGGGATGGCTCAGCCTGGAGAAGAGAAGGCTCTGGAGAGCCCTTGGAGCACCTTCCAGTACCTGAAGAGAACATACAAGAAAGCTGGAGAGGGACCTTTTTGCTGGCGCATGGAGTGATTGGAGAAGTGGTAAAGATTTCAACCTGGAAGAAGGTAGATTTGGAGTATATATTAGGAAAACAAAAAAATTCTGTGAGGGTGGTAAGACTCTAGCACAGGTTTCCCAAGGAAGTTGTGGCTGCTGCCCAGAAGTATTCAAGGCCAGGTTGGATGGGGCTTGGAGTAACCTGGTCTAGTAGGAGGTGTCCCTGCCCATGGCAGGGAGGTTGGAACTAGATGACCTTTAAGGTCCTTTCCAACCCAAACCGTTCTGTGATTCTGTGACTGCTTATGTGAGGAAGACCATAGGAACTTGGATGACTGGAAAGGGAAGATACAGAACACAAGTGGAACAGGTGGATACAGAACACAAGCCTGTAAAAAATGAGCATCATTTCTGCTGCTCAGGTGATTATCAAATCCACCTGAGGTCACAGGTGGTGCAAGGTAAGATGCAGTTGGACATACCTTGCATACTGGGCATTTTGTAGATGAGCAGGGGGGTGTGACATTTTATTCTTGCCCAACTTGACTTTTTCAAAATGCAGCTGTTTCTTTAACATGTTTCCTGGGGCACTATAAGAAGAAAACATGCTGGCCAGACTGCTGAGCCATGAAAGCATCAGAGATCAAAGCATAATTGTCTTCATGATCCAAATAAAAGGTTTCAGAACTACCCACCCAGTAAACCCCAGTTGTGGGCCACATTGATTTTTCACTGGCCACTGTCATGTAGATAAAATGGTCCTGGGCTCATTGTATTGCTCATATTGAAAGTTCCCGAGGTCTTTTAGGAATGAAGGGTGAAATCTGGGCTTGAAGCACATGAGAGTTGTTCAGCAACTGTAACAATCCAAAAAGTCTAAGCAGGGAGAGTGAGAGAAGGCAGGTCTGTGCTTAAGAGACCTGTTTGTCACAATGCCCTCCTTCACTATTTTTCCTGACCTAGAATAAATCAGAGGAAGGTGCCAAGGCAGTGACTGTTCTCCAACCAATGTTCTAAAAGGTGGGTAAGGGAGAGATCCCTCCCACTCCAGAGATGAGGTGAACCTGGTAGGTTCTTTTTTCAATACACTTTAACTTAGTGCCCTGCAGCTGAGCAGCAGAAGGTACACAAGTGAGAGCAATCATCAGGAGACAAGCCCTGTGACAGCCCTCAATTCAGAGGGAGGTGAATAGAGGGATATTGGCTTTGATCAGGAAAAAAGGGAGGTCAGGATGAAGGATTGGGCCAGCTGACCAAAATGTCAGACTCCTGAAGAAAGCAAACTCTTGTTAATCCCTCTGCTCACATTTTCTGTGGCAATGACCCAGCTCTAGCTGCTGAGGGTGGGTAGGAGGGCTATAGAGGGGTTGCTGCCATGTGTTTGCAGTTCTTCCTCCCTTCAGTACTCCCACCTTCTTGTGTCTCCCTTTTAATCTTGATCCATGTATAAATACAAGTGAAGCCTTGGCTCCAAGTCTTTAAGAATGGCACTGTGAATTTCTTAGCTGCTTCTCTTTCATGAGCTGTCATGGCTTGTGTAACACTGGCAAGGACCTTGCTTTTGAAGATCCACCTAAAGATGGCCCTTCAGTGCCAGACAGCTTGGCATGACATCCTGATTTCTCATTCAGATACAGCTGAGACCCAGGCTTTGCTGAACTGAAAGGTGTGGTGAACCTCAGAGGTTTAATGTCTGCAGAGATAAGGTGTGGTGGGACAGTGCTGGCTGCAAGGACATGTGCTTTACAGTTTATATAAAGTCTATTCTAACTCAGTGGGAGTGGGTGGTTCTGCAGCAGGTCAAAATTGCACAAGCTCCTTCCAGAATGGGTTAGACCAAGTGGCTACCCAAAGGCAAATTTTGCTTGGAATAATGTGGAAGTAACTGATTTTCAAGTTTCCATTGACCATGCAGTTCAGAGACATACTGGATTTTCAAATAGTTCTTAATCTGACTTGGTTCTAGTTCTAGTATTTCATCTACATCTTCAAGCAAAAAGAAATTGCTTTCAGTATAAATAATACATTTGATTGATGCTTGTTTATTGTCTCCAGTCATCACCACCTGCCCATACCAAACCATCACACATGCTTGTAACTGCAGGCAACAGGTTCCCATCCTGGTTCATCTCCAAGTTCTTGGAACAGGTTCACTGCTGGTAAATATAGGTCTGATTCCCAACAACCAAATTGGGCTATATTACCTGACAGCAGTATTTGGTATTTGCCTTCAGGATTCCATCTATCATTTTACATTAAGTTTTGTAACATTTGTGTGTGGTATAAATACTTGGCAGGCTCTCTCATAGCCCTCTACTTAAAATGGGAGTCCTACCTTTAGAGGTATAGAAGCTTGGAAATAATTGATTCCACAGGTGTAGTATTATAGCAATAATTTATATAAAACCTTTCATCCTGCCTGGCACATGACAGTTTATATTCATGGCAGAGTTGACTCTCTCAGCCCTCCAAGCGTGATTGTCCTCTGAGAGGAGACCCAAACACACAGACTTTACACAAGAGACTCCTTGCTTACTTAACACAACTATGCATTAAATAAATGCAGTCCCCTCTGTGGTAGAGGGCAGCAACCATCTCTGTCTTACCATGTATCAAGGGAAGGACAATTATAGTTATGGATATAAAGCTTCCTTTTCAAAAAAGCACCACGTGGAGCTTTCAGTATGTCCATCTGAAAGAAGACCACGCAGGAATCATCACAATCTTCATGTTATCTAAGTCAAAAGTGAAGACCTGAAATGGACCTTCTGAGTTGTGAATCTTTACTTCCAGAAAGTCTTAAATAGAAAGTGGAGAGCACTATACCCTATGGTCTTTCCAGACTTTAATGTGAAGGCAGGAGAGAAGCTATGAGGTACTCGTGTATCTATACAGGCCTTTGGAATATTCAAGGAGTTGATAGTGGAAATACTAAAACCACTGGACAACAGCTGTTTATAGCACTGCAATTCATGGCTCAGTATTGCATAGTGCTAAGCACCTTCTTAAAGGCTGAGAATTCTTCACTCCCAATATTTTTCCCAGGACTCAAAGGCCTTCGAATCCTTCCAAGTTTGAAACGTCGTCTCTTCTGAGTTTTGCAGCTGCTGTAAAATTCCACTTCTCAAAGCTTCCCTGCCTTGCATGGTAACCAGAAATGATTATTCCAGAAGAATGCACCAAGGCACAGTTTAGTCAAAGTGAAGCAGTCCACTTCTTGGTGACTCACAGGTGCTTTTGTATGTGTCTTGGAAAGGGCAGAGGTCCTTTCAGCATGACAGGATTTAGCATTTGCAGTGTCTCAGTTAAGCAAAGAATATGCCTTGGAAGTGTTTTCAGAGGAAGAGCTGGATGGCTCTGAAGAAGATACTGTGTATTTCCCTGCAAAATTAAGCATAATAGTTAGACATAAGGAAAGATAGCATGGGACATGTTAGCATGGCAAAGTAAGGACAGTTAGACCTGTCCAGATGACCCAGGTGACTTTGACTTGGTCTGCAGCCCTGATACTAGCTGGGTTACAGTAATACCAGCAACCACAGAAGTCAATATGTTGGGTGACAAAGCCATGACATGTCAGCTTGAACTGGCAGTCATGCCATAGGGTAGTAATTTACACAAATGGGGAGACTTAGTGGTCATCCTTGAGGATGGGGATGCACACAGAACACATGCTCTTCCGATAAATCCCAGCTCCCTCCTCCTTGTGACCACAGGCTCTAAACTAAGATCCAGGCACAGAGAGCCCAAGAGTAGTGTGGAAAAGAGTGCTAGTAATAGGGGAGTTTCAGGGGGCAGCAGCATGTGAGGCAGCTGGGGGCAAGTCTCATTCTTGTGGGAGGTTTCTGTATCTGGCTAGTTGTACTCATGTGAACCTACTGTAGGGCAGAGACCAACTTCTTGTTCCATTATCTGACTGATAAACAGAATCTTAAAAGCAGTTGCTTCCCTACATTAAACTCCTTTGTATCCTACTTTGACCAAATGTCACCATCTTCTCTCAGCAATGGTTGGATGCATAGATTGCACATTTAGGAATTAAATTCCTCATCTTTTCAGCAATGCTTCTTGCAAAAAAAAAAGTCATAACTGAAATGGTAACAACCATAAAATGACTGCCAGATAACTTTTGAAGCACCTGAACAGTAAATGAACTGAGGAGCACTGTGTTATGATACCATTAAGCTCAAAACAAAGCTTGAGTAGTGGGTTTTAGAACTGGTGAAACATGCCACCATCCAGAACTTGTTTTAGCATTAGGCAATTATACTGCCAGCATTATGCTGCAACCAGGAGCAATTATGCCAATGATTCCAATGGCTTATTACAGTTTATTTGTATTAGAAGATAAACAATCATCTATGGATGGATGGACAGACAAATAGATTGATATCAGCATAGACTAAGAATGTGAATGCAGGCAAAACCTTGTTTGTGCTTCAGTAGGAAAGATCTATTGTCACATACCTGTTTTGCCACATAAATTGTTAAAGGTTCTTGAAAATGGATAGCTCATAGCAAGCATTGGTGTCACCAGGATCAAGGAGGATGACTGTAAGAGAGAGAATTGTGTTTTGTCAAAAGCCTAGAACTTTCTTTGAGGGGGAAAAAAAAGTTGACAATAAAATGTTATTTAGTAGTACAAACAAACAACTCCTGGAGGGATAAGTTAAATGTTTGTGAAGCATCAGATTCACGCATTTGCATGTTTATGATGGCAAAGAAGGAGATCAGCTTCAAAAGAAACCACAGGACACAACCTGCCTGTCTGTAACTGCTGTCCAGGGAGCACGGATTAGGCTCCAGTTTGCTATATCAGACAGTACAAAGTTCTGGTTCTTCGTCTGAGGAAGTACATGCGTTAAGGTAGCCAGAAAAGCTAAGATTGATGTGCTTGCAGATGGTCACAGCCTGAAATAATCAGAGGCAAATTTAACTTGACACACTAGAGGGCACTGGAACACAACTCTCTGCAGTTCAGGTGGGAAGGAAGAAGCTTTTTTGCTTCTTTAAAAAAAATCTAGGTGAATGATTCTGGGAATCCTACATAAAGAAACGTGAGGCAGAAGCTGCATCTTTCCTGTCTTGTTCTGACACAGGATCTGACTGTGGCAGATGGTTGGAGCTCTTAAAACTTGCAGCACTGCTCCGCCTGGCTAATCATAGAATCACAGAATGGTTTGGGTACCTTAAAGATCACCTAGTTCCAACCCCCTGCCATGGGCAGGGACATCTCCCACTAGACCAGGCTGCTCCAAGCCCCATCCAACCTGGCCTTCAGCATTTCCAGGGAGGGAGCTACAGCTTCTCTGGGCAACCTGTGCCAGTGTCTCAGCACCCTCACAGCTAAGAGCTTCTTCATGAAGTCCTTATCACAGGCTGCCTCCTCCTGGGCCTTCAGCACATTGCTGGAGGGGACATGGAAGAGTCACTACTCAGTCCAATACTGGTTTAATATTCTCATTAATTATATAGATTGGGAAAAGTGCACCCTCACCATGTCTGAAAGTGATAAAAAACTGGAAGTAATGCCTTGTAGATCAGATGAGGCTGCTGTCAGTCAGAGGGACCTCAACAGGCTGGAGTAATGGGATGACAGGAATCTTACAGAGTTCAGCAATGGGAAATGTGAAGTCTGCCTGTCCCTGGGGAGGAACAACCCCATGAAGCAGGACATGCTGAGGGCTGTCTGACTGGAAGAGTATAAAGACAGAGCCAGAGTTTTCTCACTGATGCCCAGTGAAAGGACAAGAGTCAGTGGGAACAAATATAAATACAGGAAATCCCACTGTGTTGGTTTTGGCTAGGCTAGAGTATGGCTGAGGCTGTATTTCAGATTTATGCTGAAAACAGTGTTGATAATGCAGAGATGTTTTTATTTTCACTGAGCAGAGCTTACACAGAGCCAAGGCCTTCTCTGCTTCTCACCCCACAAGCAAGAAGGCTGGGGGTGCACAAGAAGTTGGGACACAGCTGGGACAGCTGACCCCAGCTGACCAGAGGGATATTCCATACCATAAGATGTCATGCTCAGCATAAAAAGCTGGGGGAAGAAGAAGGAGGAAGGGGAACATTTTTTGAGTGACAGCATTTGTCTTCCCAAGTAACAGTTGTTTTGTTTGCATGCATGAATTTGGTTTACCTATTAAATTGTCTTTATATCAATCCAAGAGGGGTTTTTTTCACTTTTGCCCTTCCAATTCTCCCCTCCCATCCCACTGGGGAAGAGTGAGTTTAGGTGCTGCTGAGGTTAAACTACAACACCTACTTAGAAACTTTTTCACAGTGAGGGTGGTCAAACACAGGAAAAGGTTGCACAGAGATATTGTGGAGTCTCCATCCTTGGATCTACTCAAAACTCAACTGCACATGGCCCTGAGCTCTAAAGGACCATGCTCTGAGAGGGAGGCTGGTACTGGATGATCTCTGGAGGTACTTTCCAATTTCAGCAATTCACGGATTCTTGTGGAAGCTGAGGTGATTTCAGGCAACACTTCTCCTCTGAGCTGACAGTCCAGCCTTAATGGACTCCTTAATTCCATTCCATATGTTCCCATCTATCTTAACTATGCTGGTTTTTAAGTCTGTTTCCCAGTTCTTTAGGAATATCTCTGCAGGCTTTTCTGAATAAACCCTCTTCAGTTACCAATATAAAACTACGTGTTATTGTCACCTAAAGGTGATGCTATCATTTACCACAATTTTATTTTTCCTCCCCAGGTGTCAGTGGTTAGATTCTGATGCCTTCAATCCCTTACCCATCCTGTGTGGCTTCTTTGGTAAGGAGTTATAAATGCAGAGGTGTAAACTGAAAGAAGCTTTTATTTGTTAGAATACACAGAGTTATCCATCCTCATGCAGCCATCCCAGATAAAGGTATTTTATCCCTGTTGGCTGAAACTTCTGTATTCAGTGTCTGGGAAGGTGGCCCCTCTTGTGCAGGGGTGCAGATGAGCACACCTTTGCCACCAGCAGGAGGAGGACAAGAAGCTCTGTAGCTGCAATGTCTTCAGCCAGCAGAGTTCCTGTGAGGTGAATATTAGTCCATGGCCTCAACTCTTGGCCCCCTCCTGGGGCTGTGAGATTCCTCCTGGGTCACCGAGGCTATGGCCCCCCTGTGTGCTCAGCCTCCCATATTCTGCTTTAAGAGGTTTGCCAAGACCCAGTGTAAAAGCAGTTCACTCTGTGGTTTTCCCCCTTTCTTTACACTACCTTTCTAATGGGTAGTGGTTGCTTCATGTCATGGACAGTTTTGCACTTGGTTGGATCCAAGGATCCTCTAGCCCAGTCACTTCTCCAAGGTGACTATAGCAGAGGCCTTAGAGAAGAGTTTTGCAAAAGGCAGGTGAACTTGCAGCAGCACATCTGCAGAATGTTCTTTCCACCTCTGGTTGTCAGAGGCACAGGGACTTCTGGAGGCAGAGGCAAGACCATGGTTTACCAGCCCTTCATGGGAAAGGAAAGTGTCAGACATGCAGGAGCAAGGAGGTCTGTGTCTCCTTTTTCTCCTTTGACTCTGCCGCTCATTAGTCCTCAATTGTCATACTGGATGTCCATGGCTGCCCAGTAGCTCCCAGCAGCTGAGCCAGACAGGTGCCCCCTTTGCAAACTGCCATTGAGCATTTTTATTGTTTTTCAGATTCTTGATTACTGGAGCACAAATTGAAATGGAAGAAATTCCATTTAATGCTAAGAAAAAGCTCTTTTTGTGCAGAGGCTGCCAAAGCACCACAGCTTTCTGTCCAAAGACCTTGTGGATTCTCCAGCTTTAGAGACAGTGGAAAACCTGATGGGAAAATATCCTAAGCTACCTCCTCTAGTTTCCCTTGCCTTGAGCAGTAGGTTTGGACTAGATGATCTCCAGAGGTTCTTTCCAACCTCAGCTGTTCCATGATTCTGTTACATCTCTGTTCTGCAGGAACACTGCCAGCTTTTTTGTCCTGAATGTATTCCTCAGCAGTCATTTTCCTGAGGCACTGTGCAAACTTTATTTTTAATTTGAAAGATGGTAGTGGAACTATTTTCCCCTTTAATGTGAATGTCTATCCTGAGCAGAAGTGTTTCCAGACACCTAATTAAGCTGTGTTTCAAAGCAAGGATGAATGCAAGACTCACTTGGTCCAGGGAAGTTCTCTGCAGAAGGAAGAGAAGCCTTCTAGGATCTTCCTTAAGGATCCAGTCTTTGCAACATTATTTCTTTGTTCTTTAGGCACTGAATGTTTTGGGTTAAATACAGGAATTTGCTGGGTATAGGACCCAGATCTTCCTTCTTCTAGGAATGTGTCAAGGCTGCTTGGTTCCAGAACCACATTCAATTATCTTCTATCTTTTGCTCATTGAAATTTGAGTCTTTGCTGCACACAGACATGATTTTTACAAAAGACTCACACTTCTACCCATTTCTGTTCCCAGCATTAAGTGCAAGGTAACCTGTCTCTTTGTCTCATGAGTTCAAGTTGCAATATTTCCATCTTTTTCTGCTCATAGCTGAAGGGCATCTTCCCCAAGAAGTTCTCTTAGGTTGTAAATAAATAATGGTGCCACTGAAGTTTTCTGTTCTCTAACTTAAAGTTTCAGTTACATTTTGTGGTTGATTTATTGTGGAATTTAAAGCAAATGTCCAGTGACCTCCTTCTAATTTTTTACCAGTTATAAGTGCAATCACAGAATATCTCTGGCTGGAAGATCATCCAGTCCAGCCTTAGACCCAACACCACAAACTCACCACTAAACCATGTCCCTAAACACCAGGTCCACATGCCATTTAAATGCCTCCAGAGATGGTGACTCCACCACTGCCCTGGGCAAACTATTCCAATGCCTGACAACCCTTTCAGTGAAGAAATGCTTCCTAATACCTAACCTAAACCTCCCCTGTTGCAGCCTGCATCCATTCTCTCTGGTCTTCTCACATTTCATATCACGTTGCCCTTTTCTGGACATGCTTCAGCACTTCTATGTCCTTCTTATAGTGAGGAACCCAGAACTGAACAAGATATTCAAGGTGTGGCCTCCCCAGCACCGAGCACAGGGGGATGATCACCTCCATATTCCTG